CTACACAGAATGGCCTACTTAAGATTCTTGAAGTTACAACACATGTAAAATGAGATCACTGCTGTAACCAAAATGAAGCAATGGCAGCCAGCAGTGAAACTACAGTAACTGCACACACGATCAATGCCAACTCTAAAATTACTCCCATGCTCCGGTCTCCCCCCTGCAATTGCATAATTCACAAGCTCATGGGAGCAAGTTCTGCCTTCTATTAAAATTCTGTCACCAGTCACCCAGCTCAGCTAACGGTAAACAACTGTGCTGGAAATCCTCCGAGGAAAGGTTACCTGTAGGAAGTGACGGCCCAGCTCAGTGTGAATACCAGGCAGGGGCTCAGGAACACAGCTGGCGTGCCTCCCCAGGGAGAAGGCAGGAGCCTGAAAGACACCAGGGCCCTACCCCGGAGGCCTCTAGGAGCCTGCAGGTGGGGGTCTCTGGTGAAAGGCAGGCAGGCACATTCTTCCGTGCTGTTCTGCTAGAGAGGGTTCTGCTCTGCTAGACAAGGCTGGCTCTGGCCTCCAGCACAGCCTGGCCTGGGGAAACCGCTTTAGGGCCATGCATAACTTCCAAGCTGGTGACCCTGGCTGACCTCTTCACTGACATGCAAAGACCTTCAAAGAAAGTACTGGGAAGGTTCTAGAAGGGCAGCACCAGCCCAAAGGTTTCCCTAGAACTGGCATGCACATGCCGCAAAGATCATGACTCTTCTGAAGTTAGGTGCAGGTAAAAGTTGGCAACAGGAAGGAAAATAAAAGCAGCAGACCGCCTGCCAACTGACATGTGTGGACACACATCTTTTACATAAGCCGCATCATTGTTCACCCCAGGCAAGCTTCCCTCTGACAGTGCTCTTGTGCCTTTTCTGTAAACGAAAACACCTATGAATACACATATGATTTCCAGAAGCTGATGGAAGCACCTTAGAAACAAGCATGCCGCAGGCCAGGTGGTGCACACCTGTGATTTCAGCTACTTGGGAGGCTGGGGCAGAGGACTGAAAGTTCCAGGCCAGCCTAGGCAACTTAGTAAGACCCTGTCTCAAATTTTAAAAAGGACTCAGGATAGATCAGATGTCATAAGCACTTTCCCAGCAGGCATGAGACCCTGGGCTCAATCCCCAGCACTGCAAAGGAAGGTAGGAAGGGAAGGAGGGAGGGAAAGAAAAGAAGAGGGGAGGGGAGGGGAGAGGAGGAGAGGAGAGGAAAGAATAATTATAGCCAGCAATTTGAGACCTAAGACTCCGCTTATGCTTTGGGGTGGGTGTCAGGTACAAGAAAGGTGAAAATCTATTTTAGTCTGCTTGCTGTTGCTATAACAGAATAGCTGCAAGAGGATAATTTATGAAGAGGTTTATCTGGCTCATGGTTCTAAGGGCAGCAAGTCCAAGATAGGGTGGCTTCATGTGGCAAGGGCCTCATGTTGCATCATGGGATGGCATCACATGATCTAAGCATGTCAGAGAGCTGCTCTGGCCCCAACGTGCAGAAGAGAGGGAGGTGACAAATGAGCTGGCCCATTTATAACAACTGTTCCTGTGAGAACTAATCCAGTCTCAAGAGACAGACATCACCCTTCTTGAAGGCCTTACCTCCCGACACTGTCACACTGACAAGCAAATTTCACTGTGAGTTTTGGGGAGAACAGACCACATCCAAACCATACCAAGGAACGTCCATCGTGAAAGGTGTGTCTCGAATCATGACAGAGCATTCAATCACTGCCTTGTTTAAACTGGCCACACAGTAAATTTCCTGCAGTGATCAATGTGATGGGTCAGAGCACGTTAGAAAAGAAATTCTGAATCATCACACATTTCTTACAGCTCTCAAAAACAAGAGATTCCAGGGCCGAGGATTTAGCTCAGTGGCACAACACCTGCTTCACAAACGCAAGGTCCCGAGTTTGATCCTCCATACCAAGAGAAAACAAAACAAAACAATAGATTCCACCTATTTAGGTCCTATGAAAATAAAGGAAATTCAAATTTATGCCCATGCGCTGGGCATGGTGGCTCATGCTTGCAGTCCTAGCACTTTGGAGGCTGAAGCAGGAGGATTCCAAGCTGCAAACTTAGGAAACAACAACTTGGTGAGACTCTGCCAAAAATAAGAGATAAAGGGGGGCTAGGGATGATACTGTGCAACATTGATAGGAAACAGAAATGCAGAGAAATGTGATCTTAGCAGTAAATATGTAAGGAAAGCCACTGAGGATCACTTTTTTTTTTTTTTTTTGGGTGGTGGTACTAGACCTGCTGTGTGGTAGGCAAGCACTCTACCACTGAGTGCTACAATGCCAGAAACTTGCCCTTTTATTTTGAGACAGGGTCTTGCCAAGTTGCCCAGGCTGACCTCGAACCTGTGATCCTCCTGTCTCTGCCCCAGTAGCTGGGATTGCAGGCTTGGGCCACCATGTCTGGCTGGATCTTTCAAAAAGAAAATATCAGATGTGGTGACAGGCTCGATTATCTGGGCTATTCTGAGGCTCACCCAGAAGTTAAACAGCTGCCTTCCCCGCCAGGGCCTGACCTGCCTCCCGCCTAGCGTCATCAGCAGGAGCAGCACAGCCAGGAGCCATGGGGACGGCGCACTTGCTATCTTCTTCGCTATTCCTCACTTTTGCTCCCAGAGTATAAATGAGCTTGTCCCACCACAGATGCAATTTGGGGATGGAAGAACACAGTGGTATCAATAAAACCCACCCCCAGCCCCGACCATGACTGCCAGGATCTATGTTTACGACTGAAGCCAATTCCCGGGAGGAAGAGGGATCACATCCTAACTGTTTGGTTGAAAATGCACTGCATCCCCCTCATCCAATGGACCCCCAGCCCCGCCACCAGCTCACCAACACAGCGCACTGTAGAGCATCAGCTGCTCCTTCCTCCGCAGGGTGGCTGAGAGCTCTGGCTGCAGCCCAGCATCCAGAGGATCTCACTGCTTACCCTAGCCAGGGAAAAGAGCCAAATTCCACATTCGAAGTGCACTTTCTACTGAATGTGTATGGATACATTTGTGCCTTGTAAAGCAGAACTGTGGTGAACCCGAGGGCCACCTGCATCTCACAGCTGTTTGTTTTTTTTAATCTTTATTAAGTTTATTGGTACATTTTAGGTATACGATAGTTACATTCATCACTGGGATCTTGTACCTTTACATGACTTATCTCGGTTCTTATCTTTCCCCATTCCCCAGCCTTTCACCCCTCTACTCTTCCCTGTTTACATGTTTTTCCTTTTTACGTATTTTTTCTTTTCCCTTTTTACCTTTCCCCTACCCCTCCCACTTCCTCTACTCTTTTGGACTTTTTCTTCCTATTACACAATATCAAATACACATTTTGATCCTTATTTACACTTTTAGTTTTTCACACCAGAGAAACTATTCAGTATCTAAACGTGTGTCCTATTAATTTCACTTAAGAGTATGGCACATCAACTTGCATCCACTCAGCTATAAATATATCTAGTTTCTCATTCTTTGTGGCTGAGTAGTACTCCATTTATTTGTTTTAAAAAACCCACATCTTCTTTATCCAACAGCAGGTGTCAGAGCTGCCATTCTATAGATGGGGAAATGAAAACCCAGAAACACATTCCATTCATCGCTGCACGCCTTGGGGGTCTGAGTGTGTATCCCTATAAAACACAGGGCTTCTGGCTGCCCAGGGATCTGAGCAGCCTAGAAAAGGGAGGTCATTGAGATCTGTGCTCAGATTCCAGCTTTTTCACTTACCCATACATCACACCTGGTCCAAAAGTCACCTGTTCTCATACAGTTTCCTGGTACATGAGCCCGCTCAGGGCCCCACCTCACATAAGCCGAAGGAGATCAGAGCAGCCAGCCCCGCTGCAACACCTTGGGTCTTTACTTTTCCAGCACCAGTGCTCACAAGCACAGGTGTCATGACCCTGCTCTCTCCACCTGCCACGCCAGATCTCAATGCCAGCTCTTGACATTCTGGCCTCTCTTCTGATGTTGACACTTAACGTTCAACGATCTGTTCATTTCTTTCCAGTGCAACTCTGACAACAATACAAGACACCAATCCCTGGTTAGTAAAACACTCAGGGCACTAAAGAGGCTGACACTTGGAATACTGGGCTTGAATGGATTTATAAATAAGGATGGTTTCATTAAAAGCCAACTTCTGAGTTACAGCATATGATAACTTCTTACAAGCAAGACAATTTTAATATAAAATGCATTATCAGCTGGACGTGGTGGTGCGTGCCTGTAATCGCAGCACTCCGGAGGCTGAGGCAGGAGGATCACTGTGAGTTCGAGACCAGCCTGGGATACAAAGTGAGTTCCAGGTCAGTCTCAACTACATAATGAGACTCTGTCTCAAAAAACAAAGCAAAAAAAAACCAAAAATGCATTACCTGCTTAATCTTCGGGGAAGGAATCCTAAAGAGATAGAATTACCCAGTGTCCCTGGCCTTGTGACACTAACTCCCCAGGAGGGGAGTATGACAAGGCCAAGAGCCATGGAACCCCAGAGGAAGCCAGTACTGGTGGGAGCAGAGGAGATCGCTGCTGGGAGCTAAGGGCTGTGCGTGAGGAAAGGAGGAGGAGCTGGTCTCAGGTCCAGAGTCCAGACTGCAGTAACAGCAATAAGGAAGGGCGCTGAGAGGAGGGAACCCAACCCTTCCTCTGCTCCTTGCTTCCCTCTCAACTTCCTGTAGGGCAAACAGAACTAACCACCCCACTCAAAGGGCCCCTTGATGTCAGGAGGCTGCAGGAATCCAGGGGAGAAAAGGAGCCTTAATATACTGTCCTTCCTCCAGCAAAAGTTCTGCATGCCCGCTGAGGTCACAGAGACAGTGAGCAAGACAAGTTTACCAGCAACTTGGGAAGCAGAAGTACTAAGGCTGAGCCCCAATCCTATTACACATGGTTAAGTTAGGGGACGGGAAGAACCGAGAAGACCCTCAGGCCCCTGAGACAAGCACTACAAACAGCCACATGGAGAATATGAAATAATCCTTTCCTTTTTACCTGAAGAGCTCCTTGTCCAAAGATTAGCTGATGATCTTCAGGGAACGGAGAATCAGCTCTCCTCTTTTCTAACTCTCTAAGGTAAAGACTACCCGGGGGGGGGCACACGTCACACAACAGCCTAATTTCTTTCATGATTAACTTTCAAAAACATTCCTGGACGTCAGAGTTCACACAAAAAGAAAGACAAAAGTGGGCATTTCTCAGAACTGGGGCTGCCACCTGTTACCCAATCAGGGCAAGGTAGCTTCAGCCAGGGCCTGTGGGGACGCAATGTCCACTCAATATTTGCATGAGGTAAAAGTTGAAGGTTACCAAAAACAACAAATAGTTGAAATCAACAAGCAGAACATATTCCTTACTTGCATTAGGCAATGGATGAAAAGAAAATTCCTGCACAGTCTAAACTATTTAAAACTCAAAGAAACTGTTAATAGCAGCGGCCTCCACAGGAGGGATGGAGGAGGGAAGCCGCTCTCCGCTGTTTCCATTCACACCTTTTGAACTTCGTACGTGTGCCTGTACTGCTAATTTTTGAAACAAAGAACTCCTTCCAAGCAAAGCTCAAGACTGGAATACACGATCCTAAGATAACTGAGGCTTCCGTTTAAGGGTGAGATTACCTATTTTTTTCAGTCCTGCGCATGCTAAGCACACACTCTACTCCTGAACCACAGCAACCCCCTCCCGTCGGCGGGGGTAAGTGGATTGCGGGGTCTCACTGTATACCATTGTGCAGGTTGGCCCTGAACTCCTGAGATCCTCCCACCATAGTCTCTCAAGTAAATGGGACAACAGACAGCTGAAAATCTCTTAAACACTTCAAATATTCCCATTGCGAACCTCCGTTTTATTCTTAAAGCACCAATTCTAGAATTCAAATTTTGTTTTGTTGGTTTTTTGTTTTGTTTTGTTTTGTTTTTTGAGACAGGGTCTCACTGTATCGTTGCGACTGACCTGGAACTCACTGTGTAGGCCAGGCTGGTCTCAAACTCACAGTGATCCTCCTGCCTCAGCCTCCCGAGTGCTGGGATTACAGGCGAGCACCACCACGCCCGGTTTAGAATTCAAATTCTGGCTTCCACCAGCCACAGGGCTCTGGCCTGCCAATAACGCACAGCAACTGCCAGGCGTGGTGGTACACGCCTGTAACCCCAGCACTTAGGAGGCTGAGACAGGAGGATCGCTGCGAGTTCGAGACCAGCCTGGGCTACATAGTGAGTTCCAGAGCAGTATGAATTACATAGTGAAATCCCGTCTCACTACATAGTGAAACTACATAGTGAACCCCCCCACCAAATAACGCACAGCGACTAAACTTTCTTCCGTAAAAGAAAAATGTGTAAACGACGAAGTGCAGAAAGAGTCCTGGGCTGGGCCCTGGGTTCACCTCCCACCGCTACCACCTTCGCATCGCCTCTACGACCTAGGCAGCGCTTTCAACTGCGCGATTGGAGCGCGTCCTGGAACCGCAACGGCAGCTTCCGCACGCGCCCCGCCCCTTCCCCCAGCCTCCGGCGGGAGTCACGTGACGGCTGAGAAAAGTAGGGGAAAGGTTACAGGGAGCCCCGCCTCCGCGCTGGTTGTCCCGGCGCCTACAGCCTGTTCCACCGGCCGTGCCCACAGAGACTTTCCGGAGCGAGCTGGCGCGCGGCGCCGCTGCCACCCTTGCTACTGCGGACGAAATGCAGTGCACCGCTCCGTAGAAAGGACGAGCCCTGCGGTGCTCAATCTTGGGGACAGTTACAAGCTCAGTCTGTCCAATGACAGACGCCGCATCTAAGCTGCAACCAGGCACTGCGCCCACGCGAGCCCAGGGCGCGTCTGAAAGGGGTTTACTGCAAAGCCCAAGTAAAAATTAACGGTGTTTTTATGAATGGGCATGCGGGGCCGAGGTTGGGCGAGCACAGGCCGGCGTCCCAAGACTCCCGGGAGACCCAGTCCCGAGGGCTCTAAGGGCACTTACTGCACTGGCCCCGGGCCAGGGCTAAATATGCAGTGGCGGCGGTAGAGACGCCAGTTCAGTTCCATCTCCAGGTTAGGCGGCTTGTTTGTGGGACAAGATCTTGGGTCCTAGATTGTTCCACTTGACTACAAAGTTATGTGCACTCCTAAACCTGTCCTTGTCTGGGACCAGCCACTGTGAGATGAAATTCAAGCGCAAGGTCAAGTCTACTTTTCCTTCAGACAAAGGAAACCAGTAATTTACACGAGGAAAAGAGCCCACTGCCTCTGGGTACGGAGGCAACATTGGCCGAAGAACAAACTCTGAGCCAGTTTACAACTAGACACTCGCTAAGATGGACTGCAGCATCCTCACTGGCACTAATGCCCACGTGTCTGTGGCTTCCTCAGCTGGGCCAGCGTCACCTTAAATACTTTGGAAAGGGGGAGGGGAAGTGCTTGCTGGCACGAATAAAAGGCCAGTGCTTCGGCCCTTTTTCATTCCTTTGGTCTGTGGTTTTGGCGGAAATAAACAGCATGCTTGAATATCTGGAATGGCAAGAAACCAGATGCCTGTTCAAGAATATGGTGTAACAAAATACACGTTTCCAAAGGTTAAACTGATTTGCTTTTCAGTACCTTAAAAAATTACGTTTTGTACTAAAATCTGCCCTGGAATTGGGAAGCAGAGCAGAACCGAAAGTCTGCCTTCTAATTGGGAATATTAGGTTTTTCTGTATGTAACCTAGTAATTCTAACTTTTAATTCTTTTATTTTTATTTTTTTATTTTGTGAGACAGGGTCTCGGTATGTAATTCAACCTGGCCTTGAACTCACTATGCAGACCAGGCTGGCCTCAAACTCGTGGCGATCCTCCTGCCTCAGCCTCCGGAGTGGGAGGATTACAGGCATGCACCACCATGCCGGGCTAATTTTTAATTCTTGAAGTTAAAAATAATAACAATAAAAGCCCGATCAGCCCCGGCTTTCCTCCAGCTGTGACGAAAGGCAGACACCGACTTCCTTTATAAAGACACTGATCCATTGCCTTTCAGAACAAAGCCGAGGGAAGCGGCTGCTGGCTGGTCTCGGTGGCAGAGCGGCTCGGGGGCTGTCTCCAGGCAGGACCGCGCCTTCGGGCTCCCGGGCCGGGTTCGCCCAGGCCTGGTCACGTGAACCCCCCCCTTGTCCCCAGAGCCGGCCAGGCGCGACCTTGGGCAGCCTCTCTGCACCCACCTGCCCTTAACCCCACGCCGCGAAGCGGAGGATGGGGCATTCACATGGGGGGCTCCGACCCCCCCACGCTGAACCCCACACCGGTCGCATCGCGCCAAGGGCGTGTCCCGCAGGCTGCACTGCGGGGGTGGTCTGAGGAGGGGGCTGCAGGGGCAGCGGCCGGCCTGGTCCATCAGTGGAGCATCCCTCCAGCGGTCGCACTGTACCTGCCCAAGGGCTGACGACCCTCCGGCGGCCCCAGACCCAATACACTCGCAGGAGCTGGGACAGGGTGGAAAAAGGAATCGGAGCCCTGCTGGCCCGGAGCGGAGTCGTCCCGCCAAGGCCAGAGGCCCGAGCATCCCTCCAGCGGCGGGGCGAGCCTCGACCCCGGAAGACAGCCCCAGGCAGACCCCAGACCCAGTACACTCGCGTCAGGCAGGAGGAACCAGGGAGGGAGATCTGAGCCCGCGCTCCACTGCCTCCTCCCGAGGGCGGCGTCCGGCCAAGTCCGCGGACCGAGCATCCTTCCGCGGACCCCAGGTCCTATTCTCACTTAGCTCCGGGCTCCCCGCGAGTCCCGCTGTCTGAGGGCAGCGATGGGGTACCGTGCGCCCCACCGGGCTGCCAGTACCCGGGGACAGCGCTCGGGTCCCAGAAGCCTCG